AAGGGAGTTGAAGTCCTTTCCAGAGTAGAATGAATTATGGTTCTCCAAAGTAAACGAAGAGATGCAGGAATCCGAAGTTAAGTCTGCTCCTTGAGAAGGAGAGTAGAGTAGAGCATAGCCAGGATCAAAGCCAGAGGTTTGGTACACAGGAAATCAGTTTAGTAAAGTTTGCAGTGAAACAGCAACAAAGTAGCAAGTAGCGAGGGAACATCAAACCACAAGATTGAGTGAGCACTTTAGATGCGCTCGTGGCTTCCTTTTGAAGGGAGACTGATGGGCGAAACCCGGAAGTCATACGGGTAATGCCAATTGAGATGAATTCAACGTGGAGGAGTTCCAAAACATTATGGAGGAATCCTGACACAGCCATTGTCTTGTTTATTTGGTAAGCCGTTTTCACTTGGGGTCCACTCTATTTTTAACTGTTGCAAAGATAAATACTCATGCAGAATCTTCCAAATACATATTTGAGTCTGTGTAAATATTTATCCTTTTTCTTTCTCCAAGATATACTTCTTGTGTTAGTGCAAAACAACTCTGCTCCATGTGCTGATACATTGGGAGATAGGGGCTGAATTGAGGATTTCATATGAGAATATCACAGCATGTCCTGATCTTCTCTTCCCATCCATCAGATGTCTTGATTAGTTCACATAGCAATCCCTCAAGGACTGGCAACCTCAACAATTTCTTCACAGTCGCTTGCTTTTTATTATGCAAACACAGTCTGCAGGCCTTGTTATAATCCACAGGTGCTTTCTGTAGGACAGCTTTTAACTCAAAAAAAAGTCTTTCTGGCTTTACGATTCAAAATATCCCCATCTTTTCTTTTCTTTTTTTTTTTTTAACATGCTGGTTCCCTAAATAACTTGCAGTTCCTTCTTTGTCAAAATAATATTACAGACAGCATCCATCCTTTTTTTAAAATAATTTAACAAACTCATTGAAATAAAATACGATCCTTTTTTTCTTGATAACTTTTTATATACACACTTGCATAGATGTTGCAGTAGTGAAAAAACAATACTCAACATATTCTTGTCCAATAGGAACCGTAATCCAAAAATCTACCATATACTGGACCAGCACAGTGGCAATTGTGGTGAGTATATTGTGCCAAGTCCTTACTACATTGTCAAATTAAAACAGATGCAGTCTTTGTGTATTCCTGGTAAATAAATGCTGATGTCTGTTCTGTGTCTTCTTATTTAAAGGCTAATAACAATTTGGCTTTGCTTAGCAACCAGGATTAAAATAAAAGTATCTATAAGGACATTGTAGCAAAAAAAAATAAAAAATTGTCCCGGTCTGCTGCTTGAAGATGTAATGTGTTTGAAAAGTAGCAGCCGTGTTGCTGTATAAAGGTGTAGTCCATTTTGAAAGTAGCAGAAATTCCTTGACAACTGGACTGGTAAAAACAAATCGTGCTTACACACTCACACACAAAAAAAAAAAAACATTTAATTTAAACTCTTCTTTAAATCATTTTTTTTTCATTATAATTGCAACATACTACCACTGTGTTACTTTAAGGATCACTATAGTGTCAGGAATACTAACATACATGTATTCCTGACCCTATAGTGAAAACCCACCATTTAGGTGGCTTGCCCCCCTTTGCCCCTTCAGAATGGGTTAAAACCTTATTTTCAGCTCTCCACGGTTCTGCCAGAGCTGGCCCCACCCCCTTGGCGAAATCATCAAAATTGTTGAGCATTGGATTGGCTAAAATCTGCAAGGGGGTGGGGCCACTGTTTTGGCCAATCAGCACCTCCTCATAGAAATGCATTGAATCAATGCATCTTTATGAGGAAAATTCTGTGTCTCCATGCAGAGAGTGGAAACTCTGAACGGCAGGAAGCCCCTCCAGTGGCCACTTGGAGGTATCTCTAGGGGCAATGTAAACACTGCCTTGTCGAAGAAAAGGTAGTGTTTACATGAAATGCCTGAAGGGAGCTATTATACTCACCAGAACAACTACATTAAAGGAACACTATAGTCACCTAAATTACTTTAGCTAAATAAAGTAGTTTTAGTGTATAGATTATTCCCCTGCAATTTCACTGCTCAATTCACTGTCATTTAGGAGTTAAATCACTTTGTTTCTGTTTATGCAGCCCTAGCTACACCTCCCCTGGCTATGATTGACAGCCTGCATGAAAAAAAAAACTGGTTTCACTTTCAAACAGATGTAATTTACCTTAAATAATTGTATCTCAATCTCTAAATTGAACTTTAATCACATACAGGAGGCTCTTGCAGGGACTAGCAAGCTATTAACATAGCAGGGGATAAGAAAATCATCTTATTTAAACAGAACTTGCAATAAAGAAAGCCTAAATAGGGCTCTCTTTACAGGAAGTATTTATGGAAGGCTGTGCAAATCACATGCAGGGAGGTGTGACTAGGGTTCATAAACAAAGGGATTTAACTCCTAAATGGCAGAGGATTGAGCAGTGAGGCTGCAGGGGCATGTTCTATACACCAAAACTGCTTCATTAACCCCTTAAGGACACATGACATGTGTGACATGTCATGATTCCCTTTTATTCCAGAAGTTTGGTCCTTAAGGGGTTAAGCTAAAGTTGTTCAGGTGACTATAGTGTCCCTTTAAGCTGTAGTTGTTCTGGTGACTATAGTGTCCCTTTAAGAAGTAACACTTATTTAAAGATTTTTCCATATATATGTAACAAAAAAAATGCTTCAAACATGTGGGAATATTATTCTTATGGTAGATAGTGGGATATGAATATTAAGCACCCATGACAAATTATTAAAAAATTATCAACAATAATAGCAGTGACACAATAACATCTACCGGTATCTTGCAAAATAAATAGATTCTGATCAATATTATGATCTTCAAAAGGTGATTTTTTATCAACAATTACAGAATTTGAAGCTGCAGTAACAGATCCTAAATATGCAGGAATTGTCTTTCCCCAAAAAATTATTCAATACGTTGAATTCCACTTGTTATTTCATTCTTATATAAATTAAGCATATATCAACACAAAGAATATCTTTATCAGATATTATTTAGCACCCACATATAATACAGTATGTTATAATTTTACAACAAAGATAAAACAAACAATCGTAAATCAGATATCTGCTTAGTAAATTTGACTGGAGAACCTGTTTAACTAATTTGCATATGCCCATCCAGAATCCTTTGCAGTAGTAACATCACTACAAATTTGTGATTTCTGTGGGAAAAGCAAGTCTTATGGCTTGACTGGTGTGCAGATTTTTGTTTAACATTGTATTCAATATCCACAGACTTCAGGTGGAAGGGGTTTTCAATCACAATTGTTTCCCCACCATAACCTTTTTGGTATTTGCTATATATGTAGATATTCTGTAATACACATTATTGTAGAAAAGTAGATTCCAAATTGAAAGACACTATAGGTACCCACAACACTTCCTTTTAATCCTGCAACTGCAAACACTGCTGTTCTGAAGAGAACATGAAAGAACCGTTTGGCAGTTGCACATGCGCACTAGGCTTCCAATGTTTTCCTATGGCAAAGCACTGGATTGGCTGAGAGCATTGATCTTAATGATTAAGGCTGCTATCACCATGATCACATCAAAAAGCTGAAGTGGTCATAGTGGCTGGAGTAACAAAATATTTAAACACAGCAGACACTCACTTGTACGTGGGTTTTCAAAAGTAGTAATCCACAATTTATTAACAAAACATTTCTCAAAAAATACTCCTCTGTTCACATCATAGTTAATAAAATATTTTGGTCCAAATCCACAGGAAATATTAAGTGTGGACATTCCACACGATACGGTAGAGGAATTGAGGGGTCGTTTGTCATTATTTGCGTATTTTGTATTTTTATGGATGCATAATAAAGTGAATTTCATATAGATTTGTAGCACACTATTTTATTACCTACGCTGTGTACAGGGTCTTTTTTTGGGAAATGTTGTGGTTGGAGTAAGCCTTTTTAGGCAAACATTAATAATTAAAGAAATCCTTCAACTGTGCTATAGCTGCAGCTTTCTATATTTAAGTTTTACATTTACAATTCTGTTTTGCATTTGCTACAAACAAGAATTTAGTGAAGACTCTGTGTGCTGTTGTGCTCACTAAAGTAATATTCAATGTATATGAACATAACATTTTCCACTTCCCTTCAACTTACTCCAAATTCTCCCTCACCTTCTGCTCCTTCTCTCATATTATACCCCTCCACATCCAATTTTCTCCATATACTTCCCCCACTTTCTGTGTCTCTTTTCATATTCTTCCCTCTACTGAGTGCCAGGAAATGGAGCACCAGGAGGTGAAGTCCTACATGCTGGGCACCAATAGTTTTAGCCAAACTCCAGTTGTGAGATTTAGACTAAAAGCTGTCACTGGAGAGCCATGTCCTCACAAATTGGGGGACCGTTACCACCTTTCATATAAGATGGTAATTGGAGGGTGTAGCCTGATCCAAGAAATTCTGTCCGCTCATGGGTTCCAGGAGGCAGAAGCCACCAGCACAAATTTGAATGTGCTCTGGACAGGACCCCTCCAGAAACTAGGTCTCGTAACAAACCTTTCCAGCTTTCAAAGAATTAATCACTTCCCAAAATCGAATGCACTGGGCCACAAAGATCAACTTATAAAAATCCTCAAAAGCAGCAGAAAAAACACAGGGACCACAGTTTCGATTTCCTGCCCGTGAACTATGTGCTTCCTGGCCAGTACAAGGATTTCTGCAAAGCTTTATTAAAAGATCGAGGTACTTGGATTACAAAACCAGTGTCTTCTTGTGAAGGTCATGGAATAAACCTTATTCAATCTCACCTAAATGAACAGTAAAAATAAGATCCTGGTCTCCAAATATATCAATAATCCCCTCTTCATAGAAGGGCTTAAATTTGATCTCCGCCTCTACGTGCTGGTCACATGTTATGATCATTTAATTATTTATTTATATAAGGAAAGAATCACTGGATTTGCCACTGAAAAGTACGAACTGACAGAAAACACCATGAGCAACAGGTTTATGCATTTAACTAACTACAGCGTAAACAAGGAGAGTACATCTTTTGTGAGAAGTCAGAATCCAGACGCTGAAGACTGTGGCAGTCAATGGAGCTTCAGTGGTCTGTTGCGTTACTTAAAGAAGAACTGTAAGGACATACCAACCCTCATCTCCAATATAGAGGATCTTGTCATCAAGACAATTATTTCCGCAGAAGAAACAATCACCACGTCATGCAGATATACACCTCACAAAAGAAACTGTTTTGAACTCTATGGCTTTGATGTATTGATTGATGAGAACCAGAGTCCCTGGCTCCTGGAGGTTAACACGTCTCCATCTGTAACTTGTGATGATTTCCTCAATTTAAAAATCAAGAGCAATTTGACTGCAGATATGCTTTCTTTAGTCGGTGTGAAGTGTAAGAATCCTGTGGAGAAAAAAGAAAAACTTACCATAGCTAACGCATACAATGAGGAGAACTTTTATTGGGTTAAGGATAGGGAGGAAGAGAGGAGAGGGGGTTTTGTAAGGCTATTCACCAGGCAAGACACATGGCAGCGCAATGGCCCTAAACATCTTTATGCAAAGAAAACTGCAATGTATGGAACGAGCAGCAGTGGACCCCGGCAGAATACAAAGGCGTATGAGGAAAAGTTGCCTCCCTTAACCTAAACCATGATAAAGTACCAGGAGAAGACACACAAGTTATTAGAATCTTCAAAGACACACCAGAAGAGTGCTGTAAAAGCTGTCCCAGAGTTGGTGAACAAAAGAACAAAAATTGCAAAACCATCTCGCTGCAGTGGAAGGGACAAAATCTCAGAGCTGGAGAGCAGGAGATCTGGAAAAAATGTGGAAAGGCAGCAGTCCCAGAGTCAGGGAGCAAGAGATGAGGAAAAATTGTGGACACAGCTCGCTGTAGTGAAAAGGAAGTTTTCTCGGAGGTGAGGCAAAGTAATATTGCTATAACATCTCTCGGCAGTAAAAGGGAATCTCTCCCGGAGGTGGAGAAAAGTAAGAATGGAAAAAATTTCCAAACATGTCACCAAAGTGGAAACTGGCCAGAGTTGAAAAGCGAAAGACCAGCTGGTCCAAAGACTGATATTTTGGAGGCACGCCTTGGCTCAGTTGGTGGTGTAAAAGAACCAACAATGATTGAGAGCGACAAGACAGAATGTTTGTGGCACCAAAACAAGGCACTTAAAAAACATTCCCAACAAATTAAGGACATATGTGATGGCTTTTCATCTTAGTACAAACAGGCATTCTTGGAATAAAATGTTTATATTGGACGTGGGATGCAGGTAGGTCACTATCTACTTAAAAAACAGGAGCTACAAAAGTAATTTTTGTAAATAAAAAAAAATTCAATAAAAATAAAAAACAACTTTCCTCTAATGCACAGCCTTGCACTAAAATTTTAGAAAGGTTTAATTGCTTAACTAAGATCCGCTGGGTGCTTCACCCCCCTCTACTATATCTACCAGAGAATAAGGAGCCCCTTGGCAATCGCTTACGCTAACTCTACTGAGCTAAGCCCTTCAGTGTATGTCTAGCCTCTGACTGAAAGCATCAGGTGATGTATCTGAGCCAATGAGCTGATCGACAAGTTAAGTTTAGACAGAGAGCTTCTGGCTCTCTGTCACAAGTAGTGCAGGCAGGGTGCTGCACTCGGTAGACCACTGGGAAGAAGTCAAACAGTTCTAAAACACTTTGACCTCTTCAGAAAGGTGTCGAGAGAGAGGCTTCATTTACTAAACACTGAAATAACTGTGTAAATTAAAGATTGTAAAATGTAATTAGAAACTGCTGATTTGGAAAAACATCCACAACTCTGCTATTGTTAAACATTTGGGAATTAGGTTTTCAATCGAAAACAAATTTGGTTTTAATGAATAAATCCGTAACTACTTTTAATTGTAGAATAGCCCATTCGCTTGGCTTTTTGATGCTGCCAGAAAATATTTGTAGATTCAGACGTACCTTTTCCAAGCCAGTTTTGTGAATGAGGAGTTACTGATCGGCTGAGAACATCAGCTGGGAGCTCTCAGCCAATAAGCGGCATCCTTGCCTGGGGGAAAAAAAGTTAAATTTCAGAAGGCGGATGCTGCTTGGGAGGGAGCTGAGACTGGCGCTAACTTTGGGGTTAAAACGTTCGAAAACGGTTTAACAACTTGAGGTAAAAGTGATCCGGGGGGCCTCCTAACACCATAATGAACTATAACAACTTTACATAGATGAAGTTGTTATGTGTCCAAACTGTCCCTTTAAGAGACTGGAAAGATGAAACGAATTATATCAGTCAAGACCAAGCTCTGTCTCACTACACGATTTCAAGTTTAACCCCTTACCAGTGACCAGACCATTTTTCAATTTTCTTACCGTTAAGGACCAGGGCTCTTTTTACATTTCTGCAGTGTTTGTGTTAAAGGACCACTATAGTGCCAGGAAAACATAGTCGTTTTCCTGGCACTATAGTGCCCTGAGGGTGCCCCCACCCTCAGCGCCCGGCTCTGGAAGGGGGAAAGGGGTAAAAACTTACCTTTTTCCAGCGCTGGGCGGGGAGCTCTCCTCCTCCTCTCCGCCTCCGATCCGCCCCATCGGCTGAATGCGCACGCGCGGCAAGAGCTGCGCACGCATTCAGCCGGTCGCATAGGAAAGCATTATCAATGCTGTTCTATGGACGCTGGCGTGCTCTCACTGTGAAAATCAATGAGACAGCCGCTAGAGGCTTGGGGGAAGGCTTAACCTATTGATAAACATAGCAGTTTCTCTGAAACTGCTATGTTTATAAAACAATGGGTTAGCCCTAGCTGGACCTGGCACCCAGACCACGTCTTTTAAGCTGTAATTTTTGTCTTACTCCTTTACTGTACCCACACATATTATATACAGTTTTTCCTGCCATTAAATGTTCTTTCTAAAGATACCATTATTTTAATCATATAATTTACTATAAAAAAAATTATAAAATATGATGGAAAATGTAAAAAAACACACTTTTCCGAACTTTGACCGCCACAATCTGTTACGCATCCACAACTGCCAACAAACACTCATGCTAAATAGTTTATAAATTTTGTCCTGAGTTTAGAAATACTCAATGTTAACATGTTTTTAGCTTTTTTTGGAACGTTATAGGGCTATAAGTACAAGTAGCACTTTGCTTTTTCCAAACCATTTTCTTTCAAAATTAACGCAAGTTACATTGTAACACTGATATCTGTCAGGAATCCCCGAATAACCCTTCACATATATATATTTTTTTAAAGAAGATAACCTAAGGTATTAAACTTGGGGTATTTTGACTCTTTTCATGCAATAATTTTAACACCAATCTATGCCATATTTTAAAAAAATAAAAATAATTGGTGATTTTTTTGACACACATAGCAATTTAAGAATACATGTACGGAGAACATTAAGGTTTACTGCCAAGGAACACCCCAATATGTGTTCAGCAACATCTCCTGAGTACAGTGATCCATGTATAGGTGTGTCGGGTTCTCTGGGGACTAAAAGATCTTATTTGGAGGGTGCGAATTCCAGTTTTCTAACTTGGAATTTTCACAGCCTGTCATCATGCACCCATGTCCTATTTGGGACATTTTTGAAGCTTGCCAATGTAATTTACCTCCTTCAAACCATATATTTTGAAAAGTAGACACCCTAGGGTATTTCAAATGGTGGTATTTTAACACTTTTCATGCACTAATTCTACCACCAGTCTTTGTCAAACTTTGGGTAGTCATTTTTTGTGTGCTATTTTTCTCTCACATTGTACTTTAGGCATTGATTCTCAGTTCCTGTTATGTGTTACTGACAAAGAACACCCCAATATGTGTTCAGCAACATCTCCCGAGTACAACAGTGCCGCCAATGTACAGGTTTTATGGGTTTTTGCAAACTTACAGGGGTCAGATGTAGGGCTTTTCCCTGTTCCATGTTTGCACATTGAAATTTGCTAGATTGGTTTGTTGCCTTTGAAACCGTATAGCAACCCAGGAATGAAAATTAACCCCATCATGACATTTGTAAAAGTACACAACCCACGGTATTTAAAATGGGGTACGTTCAGTCTTTTGTTGTAGCCACTTAGCCACAAACGCTTGCCAAATTTATCATTCATATTTTTTTTTTTAATTTCTTTAACACAAAAATTGCACTTTTACTGGTGATTTCATCGTCATGATAAGTTTTACTGTTGTAAATACTCATACTGTGTTCAGCGAAGTCTCCTGAGTATAACAATACCCCCATGTACAGGTTTTATGGTGTTTTGGAAAGTTACAGGGTCAATATAGGGCTTGCCCAATTCAGTTTGACAGATTGGTTTGCTGGGTCTGTGTTGCCTTTTGAGACCATATGGTAGCCCAGGAATGTGAAATAACCCCATCATGGCATACCATTTTCAACTGTAGATGACCCACGGTATTCCAAATGGGGTATTTCCAGTCTTTTGTAGTAGCCGCTTAGTCACAAACGCTAGCCAAAGAAAGCCTCTTTTTTTTTGTATTTTTATAAAAAAGAAATGTTCTATATATCTATCGACACACACACATACAAACATATGATACGTGTGTAAATAATACGTGTGTATATACGTGTGTGGGTGTGGGTGTGTATACACACACACACTTTTATTTCCTATATATGTATAATATATTATAAATAAAGCATTTTATAATATATTATACATATATAATGTATATATATGATTTCCTTATAAGTGTATTTTGAGATATATGTGTATATATCTCAAAGTACATTTATAATGAAATCATATATATGCATTAAATATGTATAATATATTATAAAATTTAACTATTTTATAATATATTATACGTATATATGTGTAATATATATAAATATATATATATTTTTTTACTTTTACTTTTTAACAGCCTGGGGGACTGCCTGACAGTTCAGACAGTCCCCCTGCTGGCAGCTCCTATACTCTAAAGTGAGATGGAGCATCAGAAGCCTTCAGGCAGGTGTCCACAGTGCTGCCAGCAGGGGGACTGCCTGAACTGACAGGCAGTCCCCTTTCTAGTGAAAAAGTTAAAAAAAGTTTTAAAAAAGTTAAAAGGGGGCTCACCGGCAGTGAGGGTGGTATTGCAGCGATGCCTCAAAATGTAGGCATAGCTGCACTACCATTAGAGCTGCTGGAACCGATCATGATAGGTTCCAGCGCTCTAATTCCCCTAGGACGTATCGGGTACATCCGTGGTCCTTAAGGAACGTTTTTTTGTCGGACGTATTTGATACGCCCATGGTCCTTAAGGGGTTAAAGCGTTAAAAAGGGTTTAAGAGGAGAGGCAGACAGGAGGCTTAAGAAAAGAGAGACATCAGATGAAAGATAAATAAGTGGGGTATATGGAAGTGGAATGGGAGATGATTATATGGAACAAGTGGGGAGATAGGATGGAGTTTAGCACAGATGCACGAGAGATAGAGTAAGGTAATAAAAGTAAGATAAAAATGGGTGAGAGACAACTAGAATAGAAATGTGAATACATCATGGGGAAATGAGGAGAACAGACAAGTGATGGATTTAAGTGAATTGACTTTTTTACCGAACAAAACTGTCGAACGGACGGCCACCCAGAAGAGAAGTGTGCTGCTGGTTAACCTATTGATCCGAATTAGAACGTTGCGGTTAACCACAGACA